TTGATCAAAAATCGACCATTTTTGGCCATTTTGGTGGGCTATAGCCCATGCGTTTCGATCAAAAATCGACCATTTTTGGCCATTTTGGTGGTCTATAGCCCATGCATTTTGATCAAAAATCGGTCATTTTTGGCCATTTTGGTGGGCTATAGCCCATGCATTTTGATCAAAAATCGACTTTTTTTGGCCATTTTGGTGGGCTATAGCCCATGCATATTGATCAAAAATCGACTTTTTTTGGTCATTTTGGTGGGCTATAGCCCATGCATTTTGATCAAAAATCGACCTTTTAATTTGGCCATTTTGGTGGTCTATAGCCCATGCATTTTGATCAAAAATCGACCATTTTTGGCCATTTTGGTGGTCTATAGCCCATGCATTTTGATCAAAAATCGACCATTTTTGTCCATTTTTATAGGCTATAGCCCACCAAAATTTTGATTTGTAAGTGAAAAATATCATCGTCAAAGAATCTTTCACCGCTACTTCGTTTTATTATTCTATAATTTTGCTAGGGATATTATGTCCAACGCAAAAGCGTTGTCACAGAGAAATAGAAAACTCTTTGTAGGAAAACGAAATATCTTAAATTTTCAAGAAACCGTTTATCCTGAGCGTTATTACTTTCCTTTTCTCGATGTTTTTATTTGTTTTTACGAAGGTCGATACTTTTTTGAAGTCCAGCAACCAATGAGAGTTTATCTTATTAACACGCTCTAATTTCATATTTTTCTTTTGTGTCTATAATAGAAATCAAATAATTTGACTATCACACTTTTATGGTCAGACTTTTTCACTTGTTGAAGAAACTCTATTCACTCTATGACGTTTTTGCAATTCGGTGTAAATAAGTGGAATAGATAGTGGTTACGTTTACTATTGACATAGATAGACGCACCCAATCCATGATTTAAGAAATGGAATTCACTCTTTCATTTATTTGTAGTCTCAGAATTCACAGGTGACGTCTTGAAGAGAAAAGTTCGCCACGAGACAAAGTCCATCGAGTGAGTGTTGTTCTCATCACAGTTTGACATCATTTGTGTATTTATTACAGTACAGACACCGACAGAAAAATGGAATCTAACTGTTTCATAGAATGTTACCCTCTCCTTTTTTCTGAGCGCGCGTAAGACAACCAACTCGCGCACCGGTTATGACCAATCAGAATGCTCGTAAGATTGAATGACGTCAATCAAGGGTGCGTAATACAAATTGGTATCACGGATTGGGGGCGTCTTCTTTAGCAGTAATATTACTGTCATTTTATTCGTATTAATATTGGATTTCATCCTATATATCTTGTGTTCTTAAAAAATAAATTAGCAATATACCTCATTAGCAACACGGCCATCATCCCTACTTTTATCAAGGACGATTAGTGACAAAATAGAATTATAAATTGACAAAATTTCTTCCAGAAATCAAAACCTATTCCCGCAATGAGTTCATATAAGATTCCCTTGTAATCTAGACTCGTTTTTGATAAGATAGTTCTGTCTTTGCATCGAAGTCAGACAGCGGTTGAGGTTACAAAGCTAGATAGCTATTGTAGCAAGTGCCGTCACGCTTAAATCCAAAGGCACGAGTACTTTTCAAGACGGCGTAGGGAACTTTAGAATGGAACATTTTTTCGTTATTCAAAATGTCTGCCATATTGCATAAAAATTATTCTAACGAAAATACACCATTTTAACCGAAAATGTCTTTGAGATCGTTAGCAGAACTGCTACCTCCTCTTGGGGTCGAGTTGAACTGGTTCTGGGGCGTCATTATACTACCCATCATGCCTTGCTGCTGCATTGGGAACATGCCTGATGGCGTCATTGTTGGTTGAGCATAGGGCGGTCGCATAGGCGTCATTCCTGGAAATGGTAAAAAATAAAATGTGTAAGAACTTTATTTTACATGATATTGCACAAGGTCCTTACAAAAATCAATATCTAGTAGCACCCCATATTATTACTAAAACCTTCTGATCTTAAAACCTTTTGTACTTACCTAAACCAGACTGTTGAGGTACCACTGAGTTCTGGGCCTGTAAAGAGCTTAGTGACGGTTTTCCCTTGCTCTGTAAATGGCTCATTTCAGGAGAATACAGCGAATCTAAGGGGGTTGATTTCTTGTTTACATCTGTACGGCTTACTCCACTGGCTGGTGTCCACATCTTTTGTCCTGAAGAACTTTGCGGCATAGAAGACTGATTGGCAGTTGCTGGAGTCATTATCCCACTCCCTATCGACCTAGCACTCATTTGATTGACATTCGACATATTACCATAGTTACTCGACATGTTACCATAGTTACTCGACATGTTACCATAGTTACTCGACATGTTACCATAGTTACTTGGCGTGTTGCTAAGGCTAGTCGACGTGTTGCTATGGCTGGTTGACATGTTACCATAGCTACCAGACATATTTCCATGACTACCCATCATGTTGTTACCAGACATGTTCCCATGACTACTCGACATGTTTCCATAGTTACTAGACCTATTGCCATAGCTACTGGACGAATTAATTGACATGGAACCCATTCCAGTAAGATTTGCTGGCATCGAAGTAAAAGTCCCACTCCCGACTCCACTCCGCGACATTGATGACATATTACTTGAGCTCGTTGCCATAGACACACCAGGCTTCATGTTGTTGCTACGAGTTACCATTCCTCCCACCGAAGAAGTGCTTTTATATCCGGTGTTACTTGACGAAGACAGGGATCCCATGCTGCTGGATCCCGTCATAGAGGCACCACCGCTGTTTGTGCTTGCTAGATTACTAGAGTTGCCATAAGAAGGTTTTGATAGCTGGCTCGTAGACGATGAAGGACTTGGAGAGAGGTTTCTTAGAGATCGATTGGTTTGCGGGCTTTGCTTTGGTGAGAATGATGGCGATGAAGATGATTGACGGGGCTGATAAAAAAGAAAAGTAAAATAAGGTGTTCAAAGATGAGGCTATGATCATTGAAAACTCCTAATAATTTCTTTTACTCGTGTATAGGGTCTAAGGTTGAAAGCGCGCAAAGGACGCCGTGTATTGCTAACAGCCTTGTCTAACTAACCTTGTTTGAAGATGAAAGTGAGGCTGACATATCAAAGGCGTCAAGAATATCTTCGTTTAGACTTCCTCTACTGTCTGACAACCCGAACAGTTTGTTAAACTATGGACAAAAACAAAACAAATATGACAAACCATCTACCGAGCAAAACCCGAACAACCGACATCCTACCGAATAACATACAACCCATCTACCGAGCAAAACCCGAACAACCGAAGATCTACCGAATAACATGCAACCCATCTACCGATCAAAAAACGACTAACCGAAGATATACCGGTTAATAGTCGACTTTAGATATTTTGGTTCAGTGACCATGACCAAAAGAATTGCAGACGAGGCTCCGGGGAAATAAAAGAATAAATCAAGATTATCCATTGTTTCCCCGGAGCCTCGTGTGCGTTCTTTTGTACATAGTCATCGAACCAAAATATCTAAAGTTGACTATTGCGATGTGCCGAATTACTGATAACCCATCTACCCAGCAAAATCCGATCAATCGACCATCAACCGATCTAGTAAACAACTTTACCTCGGCATTCTTAGTCGCAGCACTGGTGCTTGGAGATCCTATGGATTTTTTCTCTTCGACTAAAATAGACAGGAAACATAATTTTAGTATAGGTTCCTATAATATTATCTATTATTATCTATTAATAAACTATTAATCAATCATTGATTAATCACCTGTCGTGCTAGAGGGTCTCTCATTAAATGCCTTGTCTATCAAAGATGTCAGATTATCCAATGCTTTCGCTTCTTCTGCTTCTTGTGCAAACTTTAATGACGACCTGAAAAACACAAGCACGGGATCCCTTTGTCACGAGGGGAAGACTGGGTTACTTCTTTCCGCTCACTGCCGCTCGCTTATTCAAGATTTCTAGCCTTAATCCTCATATTTCGACCACTGAATCTAAGTATTTGCAATTATCACCTAATGTAACCGACCACTTCATACTGCTCGCTTTTCCGAGGTTCTTTCCATGCAGTTTGTTCCTAAATCTTGTGTAAAACCCTCCCTTATGCGAACAACTACATTTGACATTGCAGTCATAACCGCGCGTAATCGACCGCCTCTCCCTGGTCGCTTCAACGAGGTCTGTCACTTACTGTGTTTGTTCCTGCATCTTTTGTAACTGTTCAAGCTTTGCTTTATGTTCTACCTGTACTTGGTTTATCATATCGTTTATAATCGCCATGAACTGAGTAAACTGAAAAGATAGAAATAAAGATGAAAAAATGAAATACAAATAAGAACAACAGTGTGAAAAACGAGCTGAATGGAAAAAAAGAACTAACGAGATAATAAAAAAACGTGCTAAATGGGAAGAGTGGATTAAAAAGTGAATTGAAGTGAGTTGAAAATTAGTTACGGAACAAGAAAACAAAACAAAGATAACCCCAAAACTTGGAAAAAGGCGAAAGAAAACCCCGATAACAACCACAGAATACGAAACTTCCCATCGCATCCTAGCTTCCAGTCTCCCTCGATGCCTGTTGGGCGCGTGTGCGCGAGGACTAGACACGAGGTTGTAGCTTACCTGTTTCAAGTTAAGTGATGGTTCAACTGACAGAGGAAATAAGAAGGGAATGGCTTTCATGGCGAGGTAATCTTTATCCATGCCAAGCTTTGTATGGACCATCGTCTGTTTATAAATACCTACATAGAAATCATATCCGACATTATTATCTACTGGAGGAAACTCGTGGATTGAGTGATTGATTGAGTGAGGAAGTCAGTCAGTTAGTGTTTAAGTGATTGATTCATCAAGTCAGTGATTGGACTGAATGACAGTTATTGATATGACTGAATAATTGATTGAGTGAGTCACACGAGATTCTATAATCTTTAGCAAAATTTTGTGACAAAACAACACACAACCTTCCCTTTTTGCAACCTTTTTGTCCATGAATTGTGTGACGAAAAGTCACGTTTGCACAACTTTGCAGTGGGGAAAGGGAGAGAGTTTCCTATATTGTGCGGAAGATTGTAGCTCTGTCTAATGTCTCGGAAATACAGCCATACAAATCTTTTCAATGAAATAGGATGGTACCTAATATTCCCATCAAAGTGGGAGCTTCTCGTGAAGGAATCTGCGATAAAAAGGGAAGGATATCCTCCATGACGTAATACTTGTCCAGGTGTTCTAGTACTTTACCAATACAGACCAGAGAATTGACGCGAACCTGCGAGAAAACATGGATATGACTCTTTGACAAAAGGTCGCTAATGAGCTTCGTAACTGAACCACTTGAGTTAGCATTTGCGGTTGTGCTTGCGTTGCTTGTGCAAAACAGCTTGCGTTTGCGTTTGCGCTTGCGTTTGGGTTGCGTTCTTTAGCGTTTTACTTACCGCTAAAGAAGATGTTTGAAGACACAGGGTTTTGATGCGAGGAATGACAGAGTTTTTCATTAGAGTGTACTCCACCATAGGAGCAAAGTTAGGAATCACATTTAATACCATCTCCTAAACAATAAAAAAATATCATGACTTGTAAGTTATCTGGTGTACAGAAGCGAATTTGGGGGAGAGGGGATTGGGTGAAAGCCGCATTGGTTCCCCCTCCCCCCGAATTCAGATAATTTGACAATAATTAGATAGTGAATGACTCTAAATTCGGTAAAACTATCATTTCCATTGTACTATCCATGCCATTTCGTAATGACGCCCCCCTCCCCTCCCCGACAAGAATCCTAGACCTCCCCCTGTTAGGCTACTTGTCACCAACCTGTATGTCAGTGGTTGTGGCCTCTAGAGCTCTGAACACCATCGGCAACACATCGTCTCTGATAGAATCGTGCGGCGTTTTGCTTAACAACAGATCTAACTTCTTCAGAAATATTATAGTCACCTAAAACACAAAACAACAAAGAAACAATGAAAATTAATACTTGAGTTTGAGGAAAGAAGAGCAGTCAAATACAATTGTTTAGAGGAGTAGAGAAGGTACAAGAGAAGAAATGAGAAAGAGAAAAGAGATGAGAGGAAGGGAAGAAGATAATGGAACAAAAAGAGAAAGAAAGGGTGCGGACACTAAATTATGGTGCCAAGGGTGTCCGTAATAGCGAGATGATTGACACATACTATGATTGATTGACAGTCAAACTAAATGATTGACAGCTACTGATTGACAGCTACCTGCACAGGTTCTTGTATTTTAAAAACAGGTTTCAGTTCAGGTAAAACGAGTTTGGTGTACTCTTCTGCAGTACAGTCTTCGGTTATTAGTAAAACATTGGGAAGCACAAATGGCACAAGTTTGTGGTTACTAAACTGAAGACACAGCTGGGGAAGTACGCGCTGTACAATTACTCGCTGTCAAAGAACAATAAATAAAAGTTAATTTGTAGAATACTTCGTTTTACAGTTCCAAGAACCATCTTGACAAGTAGCTGAGCCTTTGAATCAAATCAATCAAATCAGAGCTTGCAGTGATAGACACCTGTATGTATCTTAAGGCTGATTTACATGGCACGATTGTCTCGTGCGATTTGTAGTATACGACTTGAATCGCGCAGTGTAAATGCCAACAGTCGTACGCAACCTACGACTTGTAGTAGGCTTTTGAACCACTGCTTAAAATCCTACGACTTGTGGTAGGAAAATCGTATACTACAAGTCGCGCGCGACAAATCGTACCGCGTAAATCAGCCTTTAGAACTAAAAGTATCTATCACTGCAGGCTCAACTCCTGTTTCGCTTTGATGCAAAGGTTTGTCTACCTTTCAAGAAGGCACCTGGAACTGTAAAATGGAGTATTGAACATACTGTAGATATTGAAATTTGATTTTTCATTGAAAATAAATGCACAACTCTTCCATAAATAAGCCTTAATAGCAGTGAATACCTTGGGAAGTTTAGACATAATTTTGTAGAGACTTTTGAAGAATTGCGCCTTGGCCATGTCATCACGTTGCATCAGAGAATCGAGATATTGAAGCGTTAATGCAGCAACATTCTCAAAGTATGAAATCTTAAAAGATAATAAAATTAGCACTTTTAAAATTGTTTCTTGTTAGATCAATGAACAATTTTATTACTCTGTTATTAGACCAATACATGTCCTGAGTCTCTATTTGTTTCTCACACCTTGACCATTGGATTTTGCATCATTTTATAACTTGGTTTTTGAACAAACATTAACATATTTAGCAGTTTGTTTATTTACTTTGGTCATTTCATGAACATCAGGTCTCAATGACGGCGTCATGCTAAGCAACCTTGTCACATGACTATGGAGTTCCTGTGGTACATCACCAAGACCAGCCACACTGTGCTTTGACATCTACAATTACAAGACAACATTTACTGCAAAGATTTGCTGGTATAGTAGGTGGATTCTGTCTTTAAATAGATGACTGCCAGTTTTTGAGATTCTGGTTGAAAGAACCAATCACAAAGGAACTAAGACAGGGTAGAGAAAGAGATGGTCTAATTTTATTTTCTGGAAACTTTGCCTTTGAAGGAGAAAAAGCTTGACTCAAGATTATCCATCCTACGTATACCAGGTTTATTTGCGAAAACAAAGTGTAAATGCTGGTTGAAGCTCAAGCAAACATTTTCCTGAAATTTACCTGTTCCACGTTTCTTTTGAATGCTGCCATGTTGTTATCGCATGAATATGGAGTTTGACCTTTATTGAATATTGCATATATCAGCACACCAAGTGAGTACATATCACTCGACACGTCACATGACCTGGATAAGATATACTCTGGTGCAGCGTAATTAAGATCTGGTTGTGCAAATGGGTAGAGGCGTGGCTCCCACTGACATCCATTGTATGACGACTAAGAGAACAAACAAGACATTAAAGCTATGTGAATTTATAAATGGATGGAAGAACAAATGACTGAAAGAACAAATGGATGAATGAAAAAATGAATGAAAGAAAAAATGAATGGATGAACACATGAATAGATAAACACATGAAAAATGGAAAAATGAATGGAGACAAGGCTCTGAGGTCATAAATTAAGTAACAAAATGATGCTGGATTCATATACAAACCTGTCCATCAATCATTGAAGGCATAGAGCTAAAGAACAAGCCACTAATCTTCCAGTGCCCATTTTTGGTTACCATAATGTTCTCTGGACTCAAGCATCCTTGAAGTATCTTGGCATCATTGTGAAGAAACATCAGACCTTCTACAAGCTGAAACGGAAGAGATTATATACATGACGTATCAATTCTTCAGGTTACACAAGCCTTTGCTATTCATTAACAATTGTTTGAACAAAGAAACTTATCTATAATGATCATTGTTGATGTATTTAGCTCTCTCCATTATTTTTTCATACAATCATACATTTATTTAGCTCCATTATTTTTTTCATTTTTCATACAACCATACATTTTCTAAAAACAAAATCTTCAAGTTTCCATTAATTTTACCTGGTATAGTCCATATACTCTTTCAACTTCATAAAGTTCAAAGCTCTAAAAACAATGAAGCAATTGGGATACATGTAAATAACCTCTTGTTTATTCATTACAATTACTTCTTTTTTTCCCTTTCTTTCTTTTTTCTTTTTCTTTTTTTTCATTAAAATGACAAATAAAAAGAGCATTACATCATTATAAATGAAAAACATTCATGGGATTGACGGTACATAGAAAATAAACAAGCTTTGTAATGAAAGAGTTCATTGCATTGCAGAAGACATAATTAAACTTACGGCAAATTCTGGAGGAGGTGGTGTCGGCATGTGTTCATGTCTTCCTAGTAAATTAGCTAAGCTTGCAAATACTGGTTCTGTTGCAAATGCTAAACAATCCCTATAAAAGAACAATAGCCATCACTTGATTGACTTATTATTGACATGTCAAAACAATAAGAGATTCCTTCACAGCGGTCCCTGTGCCTTTCTGCTTGGCCAAGGCCCCCACTCGGCCAAAATAATACAAAGGGATTCCAAAAGGGAAATAACCCTAATAAATATATCACTTTTTATGTTGTTCTTACTTTGATTCCTCTAGAGGATGTTGTATCATGAGAATCCGTGGGTGTCGTAACCTAGTAAGCTGGACTGCCCCTTTTTTCATGCATTCCAAAACCGTCTGTCTGTCTTGCTTATCAACTGTGTCCAATAGTCTCTTCTCGAATACAAAGATTGACGCTTCCTACAATTAATGTTGAATAGTTGTGTAAAAAGATAAATTTAACTCAGCAATGGAAGAGACATGAAATAACTTACTGATGTTTTTGACGTTAATACTTCGTCGGAGTAAAGAGAGGGAATGAATGAATGAATATTGAATATATATTATCAAAACTGAGGTATATCATTGCTGTCAAACTACCTTGCTCCATCAAATGGAGCATAGCTTAAGTTTACTTATTTCATTTTTGGGGGTATTTCAAAGCACATTTTAATTTTTCCATCTTTTTCTCGATGTTCAAACAGCATGAAGTAAAAGAAGGAGAAAGCTAGCTACACAAAAAGATAAATATTGTTATTTCTGTGGACATGATCACATCGAGACTTTAAGCCTGCATTGTCCATTCAAAATGTCATCCTACATTTTGTAAATTCAATTCTCTTTTTTTTCAATGAAAATGTTTTGCATATATTTAAATTTGAATTCATTTCAATTCTCATCATTTCCCGGAGTCAAAGGAAGTACAAACAAACTCGATATACGAAAATGTATTGAACTGTCCATTTGATTTCGTTTCAGCTGAGTAAACTAGTAATCTACCTGGCCTGTTGTTTTTGTCTTTCCTTCCAACACTTTCCAAGCCAAATTCGGTCCAAAACTAGCAATATGTCTGCCCACTTCATAATCCTTAGTCAACGGATTGCCAATTAGTGCACTGACAGCCCCTACAGCACTCTTAGTAGCACAATAAGCCGTGACTGTGGCGCCAATAGCTGCCGTCTTAAGCTTGTCGAGTTTGTCGAACATAGCACCAGTGTACGAAGAAACTTTCTCCATTCTATCTGATTGTAGCGGTTGATTTCACTTAAAAAAATTCTCCAAGACTAAACGATAGAGGATATACTGGTATTCTTCTTCTACTAAAGCGTCTTGAATTCTAGCCCGTCAAAATCACATTTTTTGATTTCATATTTTGACACGAAGCAGTTTGACCGCCATTTTGAATGTATAATTTGTTCATTTGTGATATTCGCGTGGGCCTGGGACGAGGCGGAATCGACACAGGGAGTCAAGAGAAAATGGAAAATAAACGAAAGAAATAAAGAAAAAAAGGAGTCTAAAGTAAAATGTGAACAAAGGCGGGGGAATTTGAAGAGAATTAAAAATAAAAAAGATGATAAAGTAATGGAAAAAGAAAGCTAGTAAGTAAACCTGAAGAGATAACTATGAGAACGGTGGACGAAAAAAAACAACTGAATATTTTGTAGATACTGATTTTAATTTTTGCATTTTATTTTTTATTATTATTATTATCATAACTCAGGTCACGTGGTATTGGGGACTCAATCCCGCGGTGTGTAACGGTCCCTCACACGACGAGTGCCAGGATTGCTCGTCACGCTCAAACGCTTGTCCGCTCGTGCGAGGAATATTTTAAGTGAAATTTGATTTATCTAAACAAAGGATATAACTGCTTTATTATTCTCCAAACAATATGAGTTGATATCAGTGGTCTGAGGACCGTTTACCCTTAGCAAAAAGAAAGCAAAAACAGAAAAATATGACGAGTTAGCCTCGACCTTCTCTTCCGTCTTGTCTGGAATGAGCTGATCAAGAATTCCAGAAGACATGATCACATTTCAAATGTCTACACCGTTCTTCATTGAGCTTGGTACAGTTTGATGGCCACAATAAAAGTTTACGGACGAATTCATCCAAGTAGTGTCAACCCTTCACCGCTAGTACACATCCAAGGACAGAGACTTGTGATATCAAAAAGTTTGCGAGGATCGAACTTACCCCGAAACTCCAATGATATTGGGTTTACATTTGATCGAATATTCAACGGTAACGCACAGCAGAAAGAGGTCTTTGACAACGTAGCTAAAGACATCGTTGGAAAGTTTCTTGAGGGTTATAATGGGACGATTTTTGCGTACGGGCAAACGGGTTCTGGAAAGACGTACACTATAGAAGGGGAAGAACTCAATCGAGCAAGGTAATAAGACTATGGTATAGGATTTCACCATCTTTAAAAACAAACTACGTTTTTACTAAAACTTAAACACAAAACTTTGAAAATGTTGTATTTTTTCTGGGTTTATGATTTCTATTAAATTCTGTAATTTTTTAGTATTATTTTTGTTAGTTGTTGCTATGGTTTTTAGTGTTGTGTTATGCGTTTCTTGTCGTGCTTGGGGTCTAGTTGTTTTGTCTTGTGTGAAAAAATTAAGTCATAATCCTCTTGCTTTGAGACAAATACTTTCGTCCCTTCGCTTGAGGGGTATGAAATCAAGTTGTTGTGTACTTAGAAATCATTGAATGTTGATTGCCTATAGTATTAAAGACTGTAACAATATAGTTATTCATAATAAGCATAATTTTATTACTTTAATAACTAAAAGTTACATCTTTCTTTTCAAAAAATTAGTGAACAAAGAAATTAATGCTTAAATTAATGTTACAGATCACCTAGACATGGCTTCGTTCCTCAAACTTTGGCTTACCTATTCAGAGAGCTTGAAAATCTGAAAAATGAATGTGCTACTGTGAAAGTCTCTTTTTTGGAAGTGTATAATGAGACAGTGTATGATTTACTTGGACCTTTGATGTATGGGACTAAGAGTGTAAGAGATCTTCCCAAGGTAAGTATAGTACGACTCAATTTAAACCATAAAATAGTCGGCGTGTAAAAAGATAAATTTAACATTGACTGTGAAAAAGTAGGAGATTAATATTTAACTTACTGACTTGTCCTATTTTTTCACGGTGTTAAATTTATCTTTCATTACACAACTGTTTCTTCAGAAACACCGACGCAGCTCACACTAGTTCACCACTAGTTCCCACCATTTAAAACCATAATAAACACTATCTAAAAGCTTTCATCATGATAAAATAAGGAAAATGATAGACTAATATTAGAAATAAGAAAACTACACTGTTGTGAGGGATGCACAACAGAGCGATGCTCCAAAGTGTGCTTGTGTTTTGTAAATTATCTGTTTTATCTTGAAAGGTATTCTGCCTTTGCATTGAAATAGAACATTACAATCATTGCTGTGTTACAGTGAAAGAGACTGTTATATGTTAAAAAGGATTAACAGACAATAAGCTCAGATCAATCATTGTCTTATTTCAATGCAGAACTATCTTTCAAGATTGTTTTCCACTACTAATGTATTTATATTATATTCTCAGGTCTTAGTTTCACAAGGTTCAGGGGGGTCATGCCATTTGCATGGCTTATCGATACATGATGTCACGACAGAGCTAGATGCTCGTAAATTGCATCTCAATGGACGTAATAATCAAGCTGTAGCTGCAACTTCGAGTAACGAGAAGTCGTCCCGGTCACATGCAATATTCACTGTATTCTTGACAAGACAGAAGCAAAACTCTGAGCTGATTGTGAAGTAGGCTTGAAGATATGATAATCACTACAACTCCACACAACATGTACATATAGCTATTTAAAAAAATGTTGTCGGATAAAATGGCGAATGCCAATGGTTGAACGGCGATTGCATGACCGAAAGTAGTCATGGGTTTTGATAGTTGAAAGGCAATAACAACTGATTTGTACTGTAAGGTGGTCTGTGGTAAACATTAGATCCATTTAGTCTCCATTTCTCTGCAAGGTGAATCCAAGAAGTGAATTTTTGTTTGTCAAAACAGTGTAACCATATTCCATTTCGGTCGTGCGATCTCCCTTCGACAATCGCCGTTCTCCGTTCTCCTCGACAACGTTTTTTGAAATAGCTGTATACACACAGAATAACAACAGGTGAAGTGTCTACATTAGTTTTGCAGTTCTTTATTGTGAAGGACTGTGTTTAAACTTTGACTTACATAACATACTTTATAGTGCTGTTGTATCCCTGGGGGTGGGGGTGGGGGCAAGGGGACTCCCTTGTAAAGTTGGTAGGTATGCTTGACAGACGGATTGAAAAATGACCCTAAAAGGTATGCATAAATTAATTCAGGGATCGATTCCAGACCCTAAAAGGTACGGCCATTTTTGGAGTCTTTTTAACAAGAGAAAAGGTCAAGTTTAACAAACTGTAGAAAGTCAATGTTTGATAGATTGTGAGAGTGTTGTATATTCTACACAACCAGTGGCACATACACTGAACAACAAGATGAGAGTTATAAATTGAATGCAGCTATCTTCACCACAGGTCAAAGCTTAACCTAGTAGACCTCGCAGGATCAGAGAGTTTGTCTGTCAAAAAGAACAGATCGATGTCTTCCAATACTTTGGACAATGAAACAAAACACATTAATCTTTCTCTGCATTACCTGGAGACAGTCATTGTAGCACTACAAAGAATTCGTCTAAAAGGTAAATATTTGATTATGGTGCTAACAATCACAATCGTTATGATGTTATGCTCTGGGCACTATTACATGGTAATTTGATGATGATGATGATGATGATGATGATGATGACAATCATGATGATGATAATGAGGATGATAATGAGGATGACGATAATGATAACAATGATGATGATAATGATGATGGTAATGATGATGATAATGATGATAATGATGATGATGATGATGATAATGATGATGATAATGATGATGATAATAATGATGATGATAATGATGATGATAATAATAATAATGATGATGATGATAACAATGATGATAATGATGATGATAATGATGATGACGATGATGATGATAATAATTATCATGATAACAATGATGATGATAACAACGATGATGATGATGATGACAATGAAGATGGTCATGATGTTGATGACTAATCCTCAGTATAATGTTCCATAGGTATACAGCCACAAGAAGAAGACAAAGAAGATGCGAAAAAGACTATTAGTAAAAGATGTCAAAGTGCACATGATCCACCACTACAGCATAGATTCTATACAGAGACAGCTTCAAGTGAGTATGGAATTATATAGCTTCTAAACATTTACATGTGCAGGCGCGGATCCAGGACTTTGAAGTGGGGGGTGAATTGCTAAAATAATGTAATAAAATGGAAGCCAAACGCCGAAGCCGGGAGCCCCCAGGGGGTTGGGGGGCATCCCCCCGAGAAATTTTGAAATCCAGACTCTCGGACATGCGATTTGCAGCGTTTTGTGGGCCTTTTTAGTAACTCTTTATTGAACAAATTTAAGCGGAATTTAGTACGCAATGCTCACTTGAAGCAAAGAATCTCTCACGTTTAAAACTAGTATTTATCAAGAACAATGAGAGTTTACCGTGTACACACGAATATACATTACACCCACTAATGTCATCTAGGCTATTTACTGCCCCAAAAGTGATTGTTCCATCATCCTCCTTGGATGGAGTTCCATAAATGCTCGGCAAATAGTAGGTAGAATCAATCAGTCTTTGGAGAAATAAATTAATATTTCAATATTTGAGGGATAAGAGAAAAAAAAGGAAGAAGAGCTTAGAAAAATGGGGGGTGGCTAGCCACCCTATTCACCCCCCCTAGATCCGCCCCTGATGTGGACATTTGATACATTGGAAATTTGCCTGCAACCACAATGCATCTTATTACCAATATTAAATATTGATTTGTTGATGTTTAGGTTTACAAGGCTTGAAATGTCCAAGTGCCATGAGTTTTCATGAAATGTCAAGAAAACGCTCCTCAATCATGTCTATTACTCCTTACATTCCTTACAGGAATTCCCTTCTGACTATGCTGCTACAGGATAGTCTGGGTAGGTCTGAATAATTGTCTTGTTAGTGCCATTTTCTTTATTTTTTGTCCCTTGAGGACTCTTTAGTTAAGAAAATATATGTAAAATCCGTTCGTAAATTTAGTTCAACATCAACTGTTTACCGAGTAACAGACACATTGTTTTGTAAGTATCGTTTGTAATTTCGTTTTATATTTTCCTCTGTATTTTGTCATTTATCTAAGATGTAACGTAATTTATATTAGGAACTCTTGTAACCGTAACGTAAAAGGAGAGGAAAGAGTAAAACATGTGTCACCCTACAGTAATATCACAATAATATGTCTCCAATAATATGTTCCCTGTGACATTTTGAAAGTTCTATGCCTTGTCATTGAAGAGAGACAACCATTGAGTGTGCAATGATAAGATACCTGTGAATAATTGTCTGTAGGTGTGAAAGAAGGTTTCTATCATTGCACGCTCAACGGTCGTTCCGCTTTAATGCAAAGGCACGGCTACCTTTCAAGATAGAACAGGGAACCGTGAAGAAGACTATCATTATTACTAGTTCAATAGTTCAATAATTCACTAGTTTCAGTCCCAATTAGTTGCAAAGGTACTGTTTGTTGGCACTGGGTACTTAGCTTTCATTTTTTATTCTTCTTTGTTGTTTTCAGGTGGAAACTGCAATACAGTGATGATTGCCACACTCTCTATGGAAGCATGCAATATAAATGAGACCATTTCAACTTGCCGTTTTGCTCAAAGAGTAGCAAGAGTTACCAATAACCCAATGTATGTTATCAATGAGCATGTTGCTTGTATTATAAAAACTCAAGCATTAAAGACATGATAAATAAAAAATCCTTCAATTTCAGTATAAACAAAACCATTAACGAAGAAGCCATGATCAGGAAGCTACAAAGCAAAGTTGCAAAACTGTCTAAACAACTAGAGATATTTAAGCAAAATGGAGTTTATGAGGTAGCAAAGAACATTGACACTTTTCCATTTTTCTAGTATGCATTATATTATTCCATCCATCCATTCATTTTCTATCTGTCCAATCATTCATCTAATTATTCATTCATTCATTTATCCATCTTTTCATCTCATTATTCATTTGTTCCATTCATTCATTCATTCATTTTCCTATTTCCTATGTTTTCCTCAATGTCACAGGAGGGTGATGTTCCTACAACAAAAGAGGAACAGTCCGTTGTCATTGATGTAATCCACAGCTATTTGGATGGTCAAATTAGTGATCCAATGGAACATGGTACGGTAGTATTTAATACTTCTATGTCATTTTGTAGGCCAGTCATTCAGTCTTATTGTGTACCACATCCATGAAACACACAATATTCTGTCAATCATCCCTCTGTCTGTCTGTCCAGCTATCTGTGTGTCTTTCCATCTGTCTTTGTTTTTCAGTCCCATTCCTTATGTCTTGTAATATTGAAATAGGTATCAATGATTCAAAGAAGATTCGCACCAGCCTGGCATACCTTAAAGATCTTGTTATTCAAAGCAAACTAGGAAAAAGTGAACCTTATGAAAAAGACAGTGGTGTAGGGACTGGTTCCTTGCCAACAACCAACAGCGAGGATGAACCATACAGCCCAACACTGACTAATGAAAGTGGGTGAGTTTTGCAGTGATGCACCAGTGATGCACTCAATTATGCTGCAAAATGTATACTTTCAATATTTATAATTATAAAAAATGGACATTTTGACATCTACTTTACCTATAGAACATCCACCAATGGTGCTGTTGCTGGCTCATCTGTTTCTAATATAACCAACCAAACTACAAAACCACAGATGAAAAAAAGAAACTCTCGCAGTACCATTTCCAGTCAGCACTTTTTCTCTTCACCGGTAAACTCACCAGAGCTTGATAAGTCTCTGGATAACACCGCAAGTTCAACAAGTGAATCTAGTTTTACCAACGAAGAGCAGTGCACCAAAAATCATATTGATAGTTTTCCATCCTGTCAAGGACCCTTAACACCTGCAAACTCAACCGAAACTCTTGACCAACTAAGGACAAAGAAAAATGCTACAAGTGAAGCAAACAGCATGAATTCTGACAGTCAAATGCATCTTAGAAGTAGACCAACCTCAAGTCAACAGAGTTTTGCAAGTCAAAGACCTTTGGCATCTTGTACATCAATCAAAAGAGATGGCCAAGGTGTGATCGAGGAATCACTCAAAAAGTTAAAATTACTTGAACTGGAATTGGAAAAAGAAAAACTGATGTAAGTCTTTAGTGATCTGAAAGTTTCAAACTTACTACGCTGTCCAATGCTTTATCTTTGGACTAGAAGACACTAACTATATTTTTAAACCACTTCTGTGCAAATAAACCGTAGTTTGTTTCTGCTCCATGGCATTTTATTAGGTATAATATAAACTTTGACATTATGGAACAGATCTCAAAAAGGATTTTAATCCCAATTTTAAAAACCCCAATCAAGTACTCCATGTTTACCAATCAAGGGGAATATCTCACACTTGTGAGGTTACCTTAGTACCCAATCATGCTTCTCAATGGAGAAATACATGGGATTAACCATGCTAAACAGGCTTACATTTATTTAATGGTTAATTTTTCATATTATACTTATTATTTTTAAGACATAAAAGCAAGCTGTTAAGCACAGCATTGTCCAATCAGAAGGCACGTATCATGATCATGGACAAACGTGGATGTACTTTGGATGAAATTGATAATGAAAGATTAGCAGAGCAGCAGCTGAGGGGAAAGCAGGTGGATGTCAAAAAGAGGCTGTCAATCATTGTGAAAAGAATTGTTGACACAAAGTCATTGAATAATGCAGCAAGACTTGGTGGAAAAGATGATTTAGTGCTTCCTGACAAGTCTGAGATGGAGGTACTTAGTTTGATACTACAAACCTAGCTTAATATACTTATTCATCATAGGAATTCCCATCAACTTTGCAGATTTTCTTTTGCATTTGCAATTGAATTTGAATACGCATAAGCTTATCATCCATAAATATCAAATTTTGCTTTCTAAAAAATGTTATATTGTTCCTTTGTAGGGTTTTGACCAGAAGCCTCCTGATGAACAAACCTTGAAATACCGTAACATAGAACTAAAGCAACAATCAGCAAGACAAAAGTTACTGGCATGCAGAGAAAAGCTGATGCCTTTTCTGTTGCCTTCAGTCACAAAACCTAAGTCACCCAATTTGGAAGAAAACTTGTCAAATGATACAGTTACTGGCCAAGCCAGAAACATTTGCCAATACCCACCGATCAAGTCTGACACAGAAATTAATTCTTTTGATAGTAATTTCAGTAATGTACTCAAATCAATTAAAACATCCAAAAGTGAATGGACATCTGGAGTCAGAACTGAAGCAAAGGCACTCAAAAAGAGTTTAGTGAGAACATCTTCAGCTTTTGGAGTCAGAACTGAAGCAAAGGCACCCAAAAAGAGTTTAGTTAGAACATCTTCAGCTTATGGAGGAAGAACCTTTATTGAAAGCAAGAGAAAAGACACCACTAGCAGAATTCTTGGTCAGTCTTTTCGAAAATCTCAAGTTACAACTGAAACATCAAGGAGAAGAATTGGTTTGTCTTCTGCTGCTAATCGAGAGCACCAAGCATCGATTATGAGAGCACATTCTTACTTGAGAAAAGGAAGTGCCCTTCATCAGAAAGAGACAAAAGATGTAAGAAAAGATCTGTCCATGAATCCAAAGTCGATTACAAGGACTGTGTTTGCACGGTATGAATTGGAGCAAGGAAAAGGGTTCATTGTGTGCAAAGATAGCAAAGTGTATCAATATTCAAACTTCAAGAGTGATGATTTCAGTATGATGAGAGTACAGTCAATGGCTGGATCACAAAGAACATGCAACACTTCTCCTTGGTCGAGGACAAGGGAAGCTGCACATGCAGCAAAGTCTGCATCCTCACGGAATGATGGAGAGAACATTCTTAGGAGCTCCGATGTATCCCCTTTGAATGGTAGACATCATACTCCAAGCTCTCAGCCTGATGAAGAACATTCTCAGAGAAAAATATTGTCGTCCCAAGAGAGTGGTACCGGAGATGAAATAGATTGCAGCTCACCCTTTGGGGGTGATACAGAGTATGTTAAGAGGCCTATCTCATCCAGAGAGTGTTGTGAGAGAAATCAGACCATGCCAGAAAATGCAACAAACAGTGGCTCTTGTGCTGAAAGCCTCCCTCCCCTCCCTAAGGAACCAAAAAATGTCTACCTTGCAGTTTCTCCTTCTGTGTTAAAAGCAAGAAAGCAGCAGCTTGAGAGAGCAAAACGCATCCGAGAGGTTACCCACGCTGTGGAAATTATCCAGGCAGCATTCAGAAGATATCAACGTCAAAAGAAAGGTTAAAATGATTTCTCAAACTCTCTCTTGTCTGTGTATATAAGCTTTGAAATAACAAAAAGGTCAGACTTTGGGATAATCAGTTTTAATTAATATATATTTTCTTGTAACTAGTTCAACTGGTCAAACCAGTATATCTGATTGAAACAAATCTTTATTAGTTAAACTGGTTAAACCAGTAGTAGCAATGGGCTGTTATTACCACTTGTATCATTAGTTTCCATGGTGATAATTGTTGTAGGCAATTAGCAAGTAGGATGTTAGCTTCAAGCAGAATTTTGATAGAAAAGATAAGAAGACACTCCATTATTATATTTCCACTATAACAAACAATTATTTTCTTGCTTTGACTGATTTTTGACAATTCTATTTTTGATATAAAAGTTTTCAATATTTTTTTGATTGTACAAGTTATCTTTCTACCAATATTCTTAGAAACATAAGTTATTATAAAAGATTCAATAAAATTGAATCAATTTTAGGGAGTTGTAATGCACCTAAAAGAGCTTTACTATGATCCTCTTCTTGCTTCAAAAGTAGAAAGTTTTTCGATCTGTTTTATTTTTATTCTTTTTTCCTATGTTGAGCTCAAAATACATTCAGCTTAAAAATTAAAATGGTAGAGTGGCGGCACTTAAACTTTGCAACTGTGCAAACTGAATAGCGCTATTTAGTTTTATTTAGTTGTATCTTAGTTGTAAATTGTGCATGTGGTACACAAATTGAATTGATAGAAATGAAGCATTTCAATAATTTCTTGCTTCAGGCCCACGTTTAGTACAAATTAGTACTACTTAGATTTTGCTTTAAGTGCACGGTTTTAAGTCCAATCACTCTATTCATAAAGAACAATTTGTTCAAAGAACATTTAGCTTCAGTGGTTATAGATTTAGTGCACATTAATTCTGTACTACTGTATTTTGCTTTTATGCAGTAATTTCACAGATAAAAAGTTAGTGTTCACTGTTTAGACAATATTTTCTTTATTGCCTTAATGTATTTTGCACTAACATCTAGTTAGTCTTTCACATGTAATGTGAAGCAACTCTAACCTAGATCATGTAACAAGTTTATGTGATTATTTGTAGGATATCTGGTTCAAAATCAGTACAGAGTAGTTTCAGGAAGACTTTTATGTGATAAAGGTTGGAATTGAAACTGAAATAAAATGGAAAATAATCTAAATTTACCAAGAAAACTTGATTATTTTGACATTGTCTTTGTTATATCATAACTGTCTTGCATTTGGCCAGTCTGCTTAATTATTAAGGAGATCTTTGGAATAATAAAAACCTTGAGATGCAGTAATATGAATATGAGGAACGCATGGCACTATGATAGAACAGATATAGAAATAAAAGAAAGTTATACACCCTTTTAATAAGTCCAGAGGTATTGTGTTTTCCACACTTGACGTCAAATTCCTTTTGTATTGTAAAAATTTCAAAAGAATAAATTTGACGTCAAGTGCGGAGAACACAATACCTCGGGACTTATTAAAAGGGTGTATAGTGCTTAGAATGAGGCATTCCGGGCTAAGAAAGACCCTTTAGGAATTAATCGGAAAAATTCACTTATCACCTCACTGGGATTGAGGAACCTGCAATTCAACCTTCAGATTTGTACTACCGATGCTCTACCAGCTGAGCTACAAGGCCAGACTGGGAGCAGGTCGGGTGAAATATTTCCCTATAACTTTCTTTCATTTCTATATCTGTTGAGATGCAATATATTGCTTCTTGCACCAATTTGGCAAGCCTTAAATTTTGTTGTAAATATGATCACTTGCTTGAACATGTTGAATCCCGACAGGATGCTGTATCTCAAGGTCTTTATCGAATAATATTGTTGACGTTTTGCACAACACCAAGCAATCTCCTCCAATATGTTATCCATTAGAAAAGTGGAGTGCGCATTTCTAACATCCAATCAACCCACTCAGTTAATAATCTCATTTAGTATAAACATACTAATGGTCTATCACTCATACTGCGCTGTGATTGGCTACTCTAGTCTCCTCGCAGCCGTTCTTAGTGGCGGGCTCCCAGCTACTCTACTAATGGCCTAATTTGTGATAGACCACTCGCAGGAAAATCAAAATGGTGGCATCTCATTAATTAATTATTTTAAGGATATTTCAATTTGTTTTCATGATTGTTTGACCGATTGGTATGTTTATACCCGTGGACTATGAGCTAATACCCCATTCGGCCTCTCTGCCTCATGAGCTATTAGCTCGTAGTCCACTTGACCTCGAGGTCTAACTGTAAATTATTAGAAGAACCATCACCGTCCACCTCATAAAAAAAACTTAAAACATTGAAAAGGATTGTTTATTGCAACTCTTCATAGTTACCATGACAACTATGCAATATAAGCTAATCTGGATCAACCTCGTAATCATTAGAAATTTATCACAATTTTTGTACACAAAATTTAATGTGGGTTTAACCACAGATTGGTGTTGGTCAAAGCCAAAATGTTATGGCTTTTTGAGGTCTTACATTGGACAATTCTTTCCTCTCTGGAGAGGGCTAAGTCATTTTGTTACTGTTGTTTGCATTCCTGTGGCTTTTCTCCCTGTAAAATAGAGATGATTGAGAATAAATGAATGGTAGGAAGAATTGAAGAATGAATGATTATAGGGAAAATGACTGGGAAATTGAATAAATGAAGACATGATTGAAAAATGGTTGGATGAACAACTGGGTGAATGGATGAAAGGAAAATATAAATGGAAGAATGCATGGATGAACATAAAAATGATTTTTTTTTCTTTCCCAACCTTTTATAATATTTATTATAAATTTTTACATTCAAGGAGGAGAACACCATACTTGATCTCTAGATCTAAATATCAGGGTTTCTGCTACATTTCTTGTCAAAATATTAAGGTCTTTTCAAGTACAAAACTATTGATTTTCAAAGACAAAAAGCTAAATTTCTGTAATGGGATCCCTATCCAAGAGAAAGCTTGAGAAAGCTTGAGCCGGTCATCGGAAAAAAACATGTCCAGAAGATTACACTTTTTAATGTGCTTTTAATCTTACAGGATTGAAAATACAACTGTGAGTAAAAAATCAAGGAGTTTTCATGGATTTTCAAGTGCACTTAAAAACGAGTTTCTGAATCAAGGGCTTTTCAAGGAGTTCAAGGAGTAGCGCGAACCCTGAAATATTTTACATACAACAGGAATTGCATATTATTTAAACTTTTCACATTTATGGGGGAGAACACCATAGATTTTCTTATCATTGAAATATTTTACATACAACAAGCATTTTACAAAAGAAAACAAAACATTGCTATTGAATATGATAACTAATAAAAAAGGGGGTGAGAAAAGAGATGGCTAATATATAGGCTTGGAAAGTATTGCTGTTTGAAATTATTGAAAGATTGACAAATAAATAAATGACCAGATGTAAATATGAATGAATTAATGTTGTCTTACTGGTGGTGGTGGATTGTAGTCTGGATCATCATCATCATCATCGTCATCACGATCACCGTCCTGTATCAAGGAATAATAGTTTACTATCCTGATTTTACGACAACAAACAGTAAAAAAATTCTTATTAACAGGCATGTCGGAATTATGCGCGGATGCGGACGCGCATAATTGCCCCCTTTCCGCATAATTTACCAAATCGCGCATAATTCCCGCATAATTCGTGTTTTTTTCCCATGTTATACCATTTTTTAAGATGACTTGCCTTCTACGAATGTTTTTTTGTGGTCCATTGACTGTTTTTTTTATCAAACAACGCTCCCAAACATGCTTATAATTTTCCGAATATAGTTTTGTTTTCGTGGGCTTCACAAATGTTCCAGACGTTCAAAATTTCATCAGAAAAGAGTCTGGGCACTAGCATTACTGGTCACCCTGTGCCTTACTAGATCACGTGACAAATTCCAATATGGTGTATGATACAAGTGAGATGTAAAGCGTGCGAGAACGAAAAAGTCTAAAAAGATCTTTCCTTCTGTTGGTACTGCCTTCTGTACTTCGTAATTAAGATAAAACGGAGTTTTGCATGAAAAACAAACGCAATAACCTCAATATATGTAAAATTTCCCAAAGTTTACGTTCCTGTGATGACRTCATCCCGCATAATTTTCCGCATAATTCACCCTTTTCTCCGCATAATTATGGGGAACAAATTCCGCATAATTTTGATTTTTTTCGCGCATAATTCCGACATGCCTGTATTAAGATAAAGCTTTATTCCATACATGTAACGCATCTTCATCCTCGTCATCATCTTCATCAAACTGTAATGTAAGATAATAGCAATTTATTAATAATAGATATTAATAAAACCTTCATGGAAAATAGGTACTTACATCATCATCACCAGCTTCACCAGTGAAGTACAAAACAGCCTACAAATAAATGAAAAGCATTAATTTTATTTGTATTCCCTGGGCAATTGTCTGATTCCTGGAAAATCTTAAAATTCCTGGAAAATCTGAAACCTGGGAAATACATGTAGGTACTACACTGACACACCTTAGGAATAAGTCTTTCTCTGAAGAAATGACCAATCTCAAAGTCAGCAGCCAGAAGAGCTTCTGTATCATCATCCTAGAACAAAACATTACACGCTTTTTAAGGTTCTCTTTTTCCAAAAATTAAATATTTTAACAACATAAGAAACGAGATTGTTGGTCAATTTTTATTAACATAAAATAGACCTTACCATATCTTCATCTTCTTCTGTAACTGTTTTATGTAGATCATAATAAAATTAGAAAAATAATTAAGAAAAGCAAATTACTAAGAAAAAAAGGATAATAATGGATACTGGTACCTTCTGGTGGTGAAAAGAAGTTGAAAAAAGAATCATTTTTTACTGTCTTGTTTATGAATCGAGTTTGACCACGTCCTACAATAAAAGAGCAAAACAAAAAACAACAAATAAATTATTGAGATATAACAATTTAAAGCTGTTTCCCTTTCTCACAAGATTCTTGAGGTAACACTTAAAAAGAAAAAAATGATTGAAAAAAATAGTCATTAATATTCATTATCTCACCCTTATGTCTCTGCTTCTTCTTGACTACCTTTTGTGTGACATTTTTGCCTTTTTTCCAATCAATTTTACATCTGCAAACCAGCAATATTAACCATTGTTACACAAAAATAATAATTACACTTATTATTGAATTGCTTTTACCCAAATTGACTTAATAAGAACATTCTATTATCCTGTACTATCATGAATACAGTCTTTTGCAAAAATTATGAGAATTGTTGAAATATCTAAATATCATAATATCGAGTGCATGATGGGTAATCCCGCGCGATGMCCTTRGWCCMTTGTCTTTGTAGTTTTTTTTTTTTTTGGCGACAGACTTATCCGTAGTTCTGAACATTTTCTCAATGTCAACAATGAATTATTCTAGCAAACCCTCGTGTTCCAGACAATATATGGATATGGTTATTATGATATTTAGATATTTAGACAATTCTCATAATTTTTGCAAAATGCTGTATTATAGACATATACAGCATTTTGCAAAAATTATGAGAATTGTCTAAATATCTAAATATCATAATAACCATATCCATATATTGTCCGGAACACGAGGGTTTGCTAGAATAATTCATTGTTGACATCGAGAAAATGTGCAGAACTACGGATAAGTCTGTCGCCAAAAAAAACTAAACWACAAAGASAAGGGACTAAGGGCATCGCGCGGGATTACCCATCATGCACTCGATATTATGATATTTAGATATTTCAACAATTCTCATAATTTTTGCAAAACGCTGTATAATATAATATAATAATAGTATCAATAATATATCACATGTTTTTACCCTGATGTGTGGACAATTTCTGGTCCTTCAAAAGAGAAGGGATCATCCTCATCTGGCTCACATTTCATTTTATACGATTTGGTCAAGATCTATAAAGCAAGAAACATTATTAACATAACAAATATAGAAAGTACAAAATACTTTTAGAAAAATGTGTACATTCAAGGAGTACTTTTAAGTAAAAAAAGGTTACTATGCTACTACAACTTACAGTGTTCGTGAAAAATGGGTTTGGAGTGAAATGGAATTCCAGGACAAATCCCTATGAAAACAAAATAACAATTCAAAAGATAAATATATAAATAAATAAATAATGAATGAATGAATGAATACATAATTACATATTACATAATACATATTATGTTATCATTGCCTGTCATTGTTCTCTAGGCCAGCCACTGCTGGCCGCCCCATTGCCAGATTAGCTCACTAGGGTCTAGTGGCAATTAATTTATTTAAAGATTAAAGATTAATAAAGAAGAAGACGCTTGTACTGAAGTTTGAAGACAATGAAAGAAATGAAAATTGTCCACKAAAAGCATATGAATTGATTGATGTAGGTAACTATAGTAACATACCATAGGTGTCGGCAGTGGATATTGCGAGTTTTCAACATTGCTGTCAGGACCAACAAACACTACTTTTATTTCTGTCAAGTGTTTAAGTATTGGTTCATCATGCTCCTGAATTAAAAACAAATAAATCAATAGACCTTTTCGAAGCTAAAACCAAAGCAAGCAACATGTTTGCTGCAGCCCTCAAATGAACAAGAGTCATGTAAAATTCTTGCTTTTTCGTCAAAAAATAATATAATTTTAGCAAGTTAAAGAGAAGTGCAGAAAAAACAAAAACTACCTGAATCATTTCTGCAATCATATCAACATTCTTCATGCTAGTCAACCAAAACTCTGGGATTCCTTTGGTATCCTCTGAAAAATTACCATGTATCATAGCACTTGAGTAATAATTTATTGGCTTCAAACAATATTCATGACACAGGAAACCCAAAAAGGAAGAATCACAATGATTTTGTGAGATTGTAAAGCTACAACACTGCTGCATACAAGAAGTAAAATGATTATAAAAAAAACTAATTTTATAGATAAGATCGATAAGATACAAACTAGTTTAATTGTGCATCAAGACCAAATGTAGTGTAGTGAAGTYAAAATCAAAATGAAAGTGATGATTCCTTTATTTACTCTTATAAATATTCAGTTTCCCGATGTGTGAATCCATTTTGCTAAAATTTCAAGGCTTCTTGAAACACAGCAAAATTACTCTAAATGTATTTACAACACAGGGAACCCAATGTTAGACCAGTGAGTCAAAAACACACACTATCCCCGTTCTCTCTCTTTTGGTATAGCACAGGGAACCCACATACCTGATAAGACTTCTGTTTCCATGGTATCATCATTTACTTTAACTTTATCTTTTACTTCTTGCTGTAAATCATCAAAAGAAATAATTTGAACATATGAAAACATCTGATAATACTACAACAGTTTAACTATTGTCTGAGACTTAAAACTTGATTCAATATCAGGGTTTTTTTTACAAATRCTGAAGTTTTAAAATCTCTTTTATGCAGCCTTTGTATTGATCATTCACAACACTTCACTGCCGTCTTTGTACACAGAATTTTACATTACAATAATGGGGTATAGAATGGTTAATATTTTCCAAGGCCCGCAAGCTTGGCACTTAAAAGAAAGGGACTCAGATTAAAATCGCTTTTGGCTCGGAAGCTTGCAATTGCTGAAATATAGGCTTGGGCTCGGATTCGATATCCCTCAATAAGATTTCGACTGAAATAAGAATCTATGTTGCAAGCTTTTAAGCTTAAGGCTGTGTAAATGAGATCTCAAAACAGGAGTATTTCATCTATTTATGTTAAAACAGTATGTCTTTGATAACATACCGATAATTGATCTACCTCCGCCTTGTCCTTCTCTTCTTTTTCTTCTTTCTCTTCACTTTCTTCCTGTTCATCATCAGACGGCCACTCACACTCCTTATCAGTAGGTTCGACATGTCCATTTGCTATATTTTTACGCTAAACAATATCAAATAACACCATAATTTGTTATGTAAAGTAAATGACTAATATTGATTATAATACAGAGGCCAAAGCATTGCTTTCAATGAAAAAACTGCAATAAAAAGCCATCATAAGCAAAATTACAAATACCTTCCCTATAGTAAATTGACTTTTAATTTAAAGTGGTTTCATCCTCAAATGAAATGAATATTTACCTTCTCGTATAAAGGTTTAAATTTCTCAGCATATTTGCACTCCAGCGCATGAACTTCTTCGTAAAACCTTCCCTCAATCTTACAACACTCAGCCTGAATATTCTTCAATGCTTTGATTCTTCTTTTTACAGATTTTGGCAAACTTAACACAAGAAAAAATTGCTAAATTACTTAGAATCACTTACCATTATTTGTGTTCAACACAGCAATGTATAAACAGAGTTTGAGCTACATTTTCATTCAAAAATTCCAGGATTTTTCAAGTTTTAAAGAATCTGGAATGATTTTTCTCAACATTTTAGTTAATAAACACTCAAATTTCAATAAAAGATTTAAAACTGACACCACTGTAGACTTAATCTCAATTCAAGGAGTATTCCATTTCAAAGACTTTTCAAGAGCCCTTGAAAGGAGTTTTCTATTCCAGGGCTTTTTAAGGGTTCCAAGAAGTAGCACAAAACCTGAATAAAGAGCTAGCTATTGTAGATTGAGGACATGATGAGTTTAATCACCTCTCAACGTATCCACTTGTTTGACCAACCAATCTTGAMAGACCATCCTTAAAAGCAAAATAACAAAAAAAAATATTTTCTTTTGTAGGAAATCTAATTATGAACTTTACTCTATAGGTA